TGAACACAGGGTCTACACATTGTGCTACATCCTTAACCCTTTTATAATTTTTTATTTTAAGACAGTGTCTTGCTATGTTGCTAACAGTCTAGGCTCAAACTTGTGATCCTCCTGCTTCAGCCTCCCAGAATGCAGGATACAGAAGTCGAAATACATGAAGAATAGGGATTACAGCAGGAAAAATTAGAATAAATGAGTTATAATTTTAAAATGAATAATAAGGGGCCGGGGATTTAGCTCAGCAGTTCGGTGGCCTGCCTTGCAAGTGCAAGGACCCGAGTTCAATCCCTGGTACCAAAAAAACCCCAACAAAACAAAAAAAAAAGGGGGTAATAGGAAATTACTATGGAATTAAGAAAATCAGTCTAAATTTTAAGAGTTTAGTGATTAGTGGTCTTGACTGAAAGAAAAGCAATTAGGCATATACTTATAAAAGTTCTGAATTTAAAAATTAATTGAGGCATCTGATAAGCTCTTAAAATTCCTACAAAGGGGGAAATATTAAAAAATTAATATCTGCTTATCTATGCTACTGGAAACTAAAAGATAGTGGATTGACATCTACAGACTGCAAAAACAAAAAACACAAACCCCACTATAATCCATTAATCTTAAAATCTCAAAAGTATTTGTTAATCAGAGTGAAAGAAATACATTTAAGGATATACAGGAGCTAAGTACATAATGATTATACCCCATCTGAGGAAATACCTGAGAATAGAAAATAACACATGAACTAGAGTAAGACTCCCTGAGAAATACGGAAACTGTTACATAATAAACATTTCTTTTTATGTAAATATATATATATGTATGTATGTATATATATATATATCAGCTAAGAAGTAGCTATTAACATGTAGTACAATAATTTCATACTTTTGAAATAAAAGGATGTTACTGTATTTATGTAAGGAAATGGTAAAGAATATTAAACTGTCTCATCAAAACGTAGGAGATTAAGGGGCTAGCTAGGTAGTATAAATAAGAGAAAGAAAATGGGAGGTAGGCCATAAGAGGAAAAGAAGAGAAAAGGAGGGCAGGGAATGCATCATAATGGCCTAATTTTTTTAGTAGAAAGGGAAGGGGTAGACTTTAGGGGGAAAAGTTTCATTTATGTGTAAATACCTATTTATTGGAGTAGGGAAAGGGAAGATAATGTAACAAGAAGACAACTTATTTTGGTACTTTGAATTGAACTTGAGACCTTGCATTTGTGAGGCAGGCAATGGCACTGAGCTATAAATCCCCAGCCATGAGGAAAACTTCTGTATTAACAAGGAAGTAATATAATTCATAGCTACTTGTTAAAATACAAAAGGGAATGAGGAGACAGTAAATGCAAAAAAAGTGAATATGAAGTAATTGGGAGTTACTAATTAAGCATCAATTATTATATTCAAAAAATAAATTATTATATTCAATGTGGATGGACAAAATTCCAGTAGAAGGTATATAATGTTAAATTACATTAAAAACAAGTCAGTCAAATGAAAAGAAAAATACCGAGGGCCGGGGATTTAGCTCAGTGGTTCCACTGCCTGCCTCGAAAGTGCAAGGACCTGAGTTTGATCCCTGGTTCTCCCCACCAAAAAAATACTGAGACAAAGTTATAAAAAGTTGATGTAAGAATGATGAGCATAAACAATAAAATACAAACAAAAGGAAAACAAAAACATGAGCAATAACATTGATATCAAGCTGGAATTTAAGGTTAGAATTTTGAAACAACAATTTTGTACTATAGTAAAAGGAATAATTTAAGAGGAAAATAATATAAATAACTGTATGTAGCAGGTTATTTATAATAGGTAAGTACATAAAGTACAAATTCCTGGAAAGATCTGGACAGTTCTGTTCAGCACACATAAAGAATTTCATTTAAGAAATGAAATAATGTAATTTATAAAATTGAGTCAATATATACACAGAATCCGATATTCTTAAAATATTTGGTAGTTTTAATTTGTTTTTGTTTTGAGACAGGATCTTCCTTATGCTGTCCACCCTGGCTTCAAAAGCCTGACCTGAAGCAATCCTTTACCTTCCCAAGTAGCTGGGATCTCGGGCATGTACCACTGTGCCTGGATTCTTTAAATAACCTTAAATATTTCTAAACTTGGCCACAAAGAAAACTATCAGTTTAGAAAACTGATTTTGCAAGCACAATATTTAACTATAAGCCAGCATCATTAGAAGTAGAAAATTGTTTCTGACAGGTTAAAAATTTACCTACGTAAAAATTAAAAGCAAATGCTTCTAGATAATCACCTGGAAAACAATGGAAGAAAATATTGTATGGAAAATGGCTGAAGCAGCTGTCAGGATAATTGATAGCCTTAAACAACTTTGTTATTAAGAAAGGTGGAAAATAAAGAATAACTTACTAACAAGTAATTGAAGTAATGTAAAGCTAGACAAAAAGGACATTTTAAAAAGATGAAACTAATGAAATAGAGAATAAATATAGCAAAAACAAATTTAAAGACTGGCATTTGAAAAGTCCCAACATTGACACATAATTTCCTTGCTTTCTCAGTCCATTTTCACTCATCAAATGCAAAAATTTTAAGTAAGTCTTAATATTAGCAGTGGGTCAAAAGAATAATACAGTAGGACATTGAAACATTTTAAAATATAAATGAAGACATGATTCAATAATGGGAAATATTTAAAGATAATTCATTGCATTGTCCAGTTAAAGGAGAAAAATCGTGTTTATTTGAATAGATGATATAGAATATTTTTATATAATTCAAATACTCCAATCAAAATGAGAATAAGATTATTTTATTTTGATTCACAGACAATAGAATATAAATTTAAGTGAGCAAATTCTAAAAATATTTCATTTAACATACAAAAGTTGACAAAAAGCCATCTATCACAATTATTTAACAATAACTTGGAACAAATACAGTAGACAAATGATGTGTCTAACATTAACATAAAGAATAGCTTAAAATATCTCTCTTTAGTGCACGCCTGTAATCCCAGCACTCGGGAGGCTGAGGCAGGAGTATCACCGTGAGTTTGAGACCAGCCTGGGCTACATAGTGAGTTCCAGGTCAATCTCAACTACATAGTGAGACCCTGTCTCAACCCCCTCCCAAGAAAATATCTCTCTTTGTGATGATACATGATGACCAAAAAGATTCTAGAAACTTAATTTTAAAATCTATAAAAAGTATTAAAAATGATAAGGTAGGTGCAAGATAATTAGATGAAAACAAGTTCTCTGGAAGTTAGAGACACGTAGGTAACCTTTTTTTTTCAGCTTTAATTGAATTTATTGGTACATTTTAGGGATACAGTACAGTTACATTCATTGTTGGGATCTTGTACCTCTACATGACAAGTCTTGATTCTCATTTTTCCCCTTTTAAAAAACCTGGTGTGAAGATATTCAACTTCCAATAGAAACACAGATTACAAAATACTTAGTTAAATGTATTGAAGAACTATATAAAAACAGGCAATATCTTATTAAACTTGTAAAAAGGAAGCAATATGTTTTTGGATGAGAAAACAAAAACAAGAATAATTCATCCAAACTAACACTTAATTGATGAAATTCCACTTGGAATCTCAATAGGTAAAAATTAGACAATATTATTTTACATAATATTACAATTACGTGAGTGTTAACAAGAGGCGAATGAGTATGAAAATAAGACTTGGATTATATATACTAGGATATATTACAAAGTCAGATAATCAAAACCGTGTCCTAATAACATAGGAATAGATCAACAGAACAGGTTAGCAAATTCTGACGTGATAATTTAGAAAATTATGAATCATTTGGTGGCTGGAAAAGTGGTTAGCTATGAGAAAGGGTTTTTTTTTGTTTGTTTTGGTTTTTTTGTCTTTTTTTGGAGGGGAAGAGGGTTATTTGCCTTACAATCTTACAATTTCTAGAGGTTTCAGTCCATAGGGAAAGGCATGTTCTTATTTGTACCTTATTTATTCAGAAATATATTAGGATGAAGGGCTTAAATGAAAAAAATAGAAATGAATTTGTAAAAATTCTAGGAGTCTCTCAAATCTTCCTAAAATTGCAAACTCAGACAAAAAAGAGAGACATAGTTAAATACATAAAAGTTAAAAAAACTTTTATAAGAAATAAAATAATAAGATCATTAGGAAAATATAGAATTGGAAGAATATGAAAGGCCAGAGCTCTTAGCTACTGCTAGGAAAAAGGTAATGGCCCAACATAAAAGGAAAAATTCTCACAAAAAGAAGACTCTATTGTTTAATGTATGAGAAGATTCTCAAATTTACTACTAATTAAATTAAAGTAATAGTTATAAGTAGCAAATACTGAAGAATACTATATAATTTTGTTCCAGTTATTACAGCTTTGTTGTAGTGGCAAAATTCCAAGAAGTAATTGCACTATTAAGGTAATGGTAATAGGTAATAGAAACATCTATGGAATATTGTGTAATCATAAAAGATCTGAATTTCAGATGTCTCTAGTGATGTGGAATAATTTCCAGGAGTTTTTGTTGCATGAGAAGAGTGTACAGTCAAGTATGTGTACTATGCAAGTTTTGTAAAATACTGACAAAATTCTTAATATGTATGTTTTATATATGTAGATATATATAATCTGTATATGTATATATCTGCTTCATGTTATTTAAAAAGCATATGGTAAGATGCATACTAAGTTGTTAAATGGATTAGCTGTATTTGGAAGGAAACGAAGGCAGATGAATACAATGTCAAGCAATAAAAGAGAAAAATTTTACTAAAAACATTTACAATTCCACTTCTGCATTTTGATGAAATTCAGTATATCTCCAAAGATTTCATGAGTAAATTAAATTGAAATATTTTAATATATTGTGGCTACTTTGGTGATAACTATTTATTTGTGAAGGTTGGCACCAGAAAGACTGTTTCTTCATTTACATTTGCACTTTGTTTAATTTTGTGCCACATGCTACCAGAATGTTCTATATGTTCTTTATTTTAATTTAATTTTTTTATATCAAGTGGGTAATGTGCCGACATCCTCACAAGGTTTGAGGGATGCACATTTCAGGCATAAGGCGTGAACACCTAGTCATCATGCTCATGAACCAAAGGATCCTACATGTTCTTTTCAGTATTCAGTTAAATTTTGCAGGCTTTCATGCTAAACAGATTTATCTACAAATATATGCCAACGGGGATCAAATGAGACTTTGAGCTATACCTACATCAGAGCTAACTGCAACTGATGCAACTGATATTTTTGGTAAAACTTTGGGGGTATATTTCATTTTGTTCAGGATTTATTTTCATTATTTGGTACCTTCTGTGCCCATTTTAAAATATTTTTAGTATTACCCTGATATAACTGAATCTAAAATGTATGCCAAAAGGCTCATTATGTTGAAGGCTTGGTTACCAGTGGATGGGCTTTTGGGGAATGATTAGATCATCAGAGTGCTAATCTCATCAGTTGGTTAATCCAATGATGATATCATAGTTGAATGGGGTATAGGAGGTGGGGAGCCTAGTTGAAGGGAGTGGGTTATGGGATCATGACCTTGGGACTATATTTTATCCCTGGTCTCAATCTTATCTTCCTGTGTCCTATCATTTTCTCTCTCCCTTCCTTTATCTCTCTCTCTAATAATATAAAGCTATAATGACGAAAATCTAAAAGTATTTCTATATTTAATGGTTATATTTCTGTAAATGTATGTCAAGATGATGCATGTTTTTATTAAACCTCTTGCCATATTAGTTATGGCAAGATGAGTTGATCAAAACTTAAAACAGGAAATAGCATCCATGGAACATCCAAGTATGTTGAATTTCTTAAAGTTTAAGATAGGTCATAAGAATTTATTTGTTTTCCTTGTCTTTGAGGGGATTTTTTTCCAGGTGGATATTCTGATGGTTTTATTTTCTAATAGAATGGCATGGATTTTTTTAAGGAAATCTGACCCTTTATCACATCTGGAATAATAATGCTGTATTGTGTTTTGACATAATAAATGGCCTTGGATAGCTAAGCCTAGTTATGAAATTTATTATTGTTTTTTATTGGAAATTCTCAATTTAGGCCTATAATTAATAGTGACTGCAACATGAATACCTTAAATAGTAACATTTTTATCATTTAACTAAAGGCAGAATTTTCTAATGGCTAGTTTTTGGCATGTAGGAATACCAGAAAATTTCTACAGTATTAAGTAGATTATGGGTACCACTACAAAAAGTATAAAAAACACAAATTAATTTTTTACAGAAATAGGTATAACCTTAATAGTCAAATCTGTACTGTATTTTACTTTTTAAAATATCTAGAGTCTAATTCTGAGAAAATAGAATGGGTAAATGTGTCTAAGTAAACTATATTATACTTGATTTTTTTTGCCAGTTTAGGACTTGTCTTGCCCCAATAATTTTACTTTAACTTTCTTCTTTAACCTACAGTTTCAATAATCTAATCTACAATGCTATAAGAAAACTAAAAAAGATCTTAAAAAGGCCAAGTCTTTCAAATATTTTTAACTAGATCTTAGGTGAAGCTAGTAGTAAAACCACCTGAATTGATTCTCTTTGATATTATATATTTAATGGGGCCATTCCAATAAATCAAACACATTTTATTTTTCTACTTCTAAATTGATTGCATTAAATATGAAATTAATGGTAACTGTGATATTTTTTCTGTCTGTCCTAATGATAGTAATGTTAGTAGAGCTGCAGGATTTTCAAGAATATGCTGCATACATTCTTGAATTTGTATATGTCATTTACCAGTCATCTCCTTTTCTGCCTCTCAGGACAATTTCTATCTTCCAGTAATTGTTTCCCAGATTTTTTAGCAAACACCAAGTAAATGGAGCATTCAAATGATCTATTTATTCTGATCCTCAAAACACTGAATGATTCCACCTTAATTTTTAATATTCTTTCAGTTTCTTGTAACTCAGAAAAAAAAATATCTTTCATTTCAAAGTAAGCCCTGAATTCCAGTATCTTTTATTAAAATCTACTTCTCTTTGGAGTGGTCCGATACCAAATATTACTTCTTAACACTGTGATAAAGTTTCCAAATATGGCATCTATTATTCTATCTAGTGGACAGTTCAGTTTATCCTTCAAGTCTCTGATTTTCTTGTCACTCATGTTCACCCTTAAAACCATATGTTTTCTATTTAGCTTTCATTTAAAGCTCAGTTTTAAGTTGAACAAATAAAAATGCTTATTTATTTAAATCTTTTCATTAACCAGGGTTTTTACTTATTGTTTCCTTGAATGTTTTCAATCCTTTAGCTTTCCTGGCACCTCATATTTGAGACTACCTGGATGCTTCTATTCAGCAGCATTTCATTTCATCTCAGAGATTAGAAGACAGACTCTTAAACCCCAGCCCAGTCCTAATGAATCATATTCATTTTCACAATATCGCAGGTCATTCATATCTACACTAAAGTTTAAGAAGAACTGCTAAACATTTGTTATTTAAAAACATTGAACTTTAGTTACACAGAATAGATTAGTCATAATGATTCATAGTCATTGTTCCATGCATTATCCTCACTTATTTCTTTCATTTGTTATTTCAAATCAGAATACACATCTGTGAACTCAAGACTCAGCCAAAGAATTAGAACATTAAAGATAATTTATTTCTATCTATGTACTTTTTTTTTTCTCTCGGTACTTGAAATCAAACTCAGGACCTTGCTCAATTGAGGCAGGCACAGCACCTTTGAGCTAAAGCCCCAGCCCTACATACTCTTCTTACACCAGTGTGCCTCAACTGGGATAACCAGTATCCAGAAATTGTGTTCATTTTTTCATCTTTAAAAAATGAAATTATATATATGGATATGACTTAAAATGTGTGATGAAGTAATACATTAGCAATCAATCTATTTTATCTCCTGTAATCTTTTGTTTTACTCTTCAGTGTTATCAAGATTCACTAATGCTGTGTGTAACCAATTCATAGAGTACATTTTTCATCTATGTTATACCACAACATATTTATAATTTTTTTTGCTATTGGACATTCGATTTATACCCCCGTTTGCTACTAAAAAGGCTGGTATAAACATTGTTATGTGTCTCTTGATGTTTATAAGACATTTTCTTGGCAAATACTCAGATTGGAATTGTGATGTCATTAGGTATGTAAATGTTCAACTTTACAAAAGGTTGTCAAATTTTTCTAGAGTGGTTATTACTTGTACTAAGAACAGTAATGGATTTATCTCAAATGTATATTATCAGATTTCAAAATTTTTACCACGAGTAAAAAATATCTCAGTGTGATTTTGAATTTTGTTTACCAGTGAGACTAATGAACATATAAATGTGCATTTTTTTTCTGTGAAGATTTTTATGTCTTTTACATAGTTTTCTTTCATCTTTTTTTTTTTTTTTTCCCTATTGGGGATTGAACTCAGGACCTTGTGCTTGCAAGGCAGGTGCTGAAACCACTAAGGTAAATTCCCTTCCCTATGGCTCTTTTCTGTTGATTTGCGTGGGCTCTTTATTTATTCTAGATACCTTTTCTCTTTCCTGACTTATACCATGGCTTTTTCACTTTTTTTACGGAGTCTCAAAATCAAATAAATCTTAATTTTTATGTGGCTGTACTTTATATTTTTTTTGTAACTGGTGCTTTTTCTGTCTTTTAATAAATCGTGAAGTTGATTTTTATATACTATATGTAAATAAAAATTGAAATTGTTTTCTAGTTAAATTCCAGTTAAATTTTTGTATCTTGCCACAGTGATTTGCCATGCCACTTCTTTTATAGCAAGGGTCTGGTAGTGAGAGTCTACTTATAAGCTCTCTTCTTGGTTGATTTGACTCTCTATATATCTGTGGTACTTCTTTTAAAAAAATAAGTAGAGCATCCCAGTAAGTCCTGAATGGGTGATAGGACTAGTCCGCCATAATTTTTCTTTTTAATTCTTTTTCTTTCTAAATGCTGATGCTTTTCTCCTTCTGGTAAAGTTTTAATTTAAAAACGGTGCATCAGTATCTCTATCTATCTATCTATCTACACACACATACATGATTTAGTGTTTAGTATTTAAAAGTTTACCAAAGAATCTCTTCTACTAACGGCTTACTTTGGCTCACAGCTTGTTGATGATGCCAGGCTGTTAGATTTAGAAACAAAAACCACAACAAAATGTAATTCCAATCTTATGACATTCAAAGTAATTCAGTTGAAATGCCAAATTCAATCAATTTATTATGTTTCCAGGTTGATAACATAATTTCTTAATTTAGCAAAATACAACACATATATATATATATGTATATGTACACACATACTATTCATTTTTGTTACTTTTAGCAGTTTTTAAAGATTTAAATAAATATTGCTCAGTGGAATCATATCCACTTAGGGATTTTTTATTATTATTATTATTAACTCTTTACTATCAATATATGTGAAACAATGTTTAAATGTTTAACATACTTTCACTCAGTTTTTCCTTACAACTCTATGAGATAGTTAACACTGTTATCCTCATTTTACAGTTAAGGAAACAGTTAACGTTAAGAATGGCTACAATAGCTTGGCGGCTTATTTATGAGTTCAGATGATTTGTGAGTTCAGATGATTTATGAGTTCAGATGATTTGTGCAGATAGTGCTGAAGAATATTGTGTAGCAATTTTCACTGTTATTCAACAGAACTAACTGTGATTTTTTTTGTTTGTTTGTTTGTTTGTTTGGTACCTGGGATTGAACGTGGGTCCTTGCGCTTGCAAGGCAGGCCACCGAACCACTGAGCTAAATCCCCAGCCTACTCTGTGATAGTTTAAGGGACCTCATCCTTTCCACTGGCTTGTCCTAGTACCAGGTATCTTTATTCAGGAAAATAAAGTTAAATATGAACATTAAGGCCAATCTTGAAAGGTAATAAAAATAAGGTACATCCCTTGCAGAAGTATGTAAAGTCATCTTAGAAATGATAGACTGAATGTGTGGTTACTAGTTTTGAGCAATTTGTTGATTGTATATACGACAAACATCAAGTCTTGGTCCTAATTAGCTGTGAAACCTCCAGCACTCATTTACCTTTTTCTGTTCTCAGATGTCCAGAGCTTGTATAATGGTG